TTTATAGCACACAGAACAGCAAGGGCACACTGTTGGCATTTCTTAATTGCAGCCAATGTCAGCAGATGATACTATTGGTACTAGAAATCTGTCTTTAAGCTGATCTTGAAGTTAGAAGCTGTACCCAAGCCTTAGCTCCATGTTATAGCCCTTCAGGTAAGCGTTGCTGTCTGGAACCCGACCGTGAAAGCTGGGCAGCGTACCCAGCCCTGCCCCTGTCGCTGGGGATTTCAGACGCTGCTACTCCTTGCATATATTCAAGGCTGCTCCAAGAACGCCGAAGTTGTCCTCCCTTGCTTCCTTACAGTGCTAACAGATTCATTTGTTTATCATTTTATTCAGTTATATAACCAGCACATTAAAACAATCACGCTGGATTTTACAATGCCCCAGAGAAACTGCAAAGCTAGAGGCCATTTCCTGACATCCAAGAGGTAAAAGTATCAAAGCTACACCTCTCAAGAAAACTTTAAAAGGTTGTTGCAAGCTGTGATGAGACGCTGAGCGGCTGATCACAGGAATCACAAGGCAAAAACACTTCTCTCTGCAAAAACATACTTGACATTCCCTCAGACTGGGATTTTTCTTATCCAGCATCATCACAGTCCTATTTCTCTTCCTCGTGTGTTGTCATGGGTCACTTTCAGTGGAGAAAACCTCAAAACTTGAAGATGCAGCATTTTACTTGTTTTCCTTAGTCGCGAGTCATTTCTCCTTGCCAGCTTTGCAGTCACAGAATTGCAATGCTACAAGGGCAAATATCTGCTGTCGTGCACGCAGCGTTACTGCTCGTGTGGATTTCTTCCCAGCAGCTGGGAGGAAATGTTCTTCTTGTTTAGACAAAAATATCAAATGGTTAGGAAATAAGGAGTTAGGAAAAGCTGTATACAAGGTTCATGCTTGAGAAACACAAGGGCACAGAAGACTTAGCCACTAAGAAAATTCCATTGGACATTAAGTTACAATAATTTACATCTGCTCATTTATGGTAAGTCAGCCATTTTACTGTTGACCTACTTTGTATCAGCAATAATTTGTCACAGTGCATTCTCCAACTGCTACTGAAAGAAAGGTTGAAACCATACATTAAGAGCATAGTGTCAAAGCAACTGATGTTAATTATACCCTGCAACTCCTATGTTGATGAAATTGTCACTGCCAACCATTAATACAGCATTTACTGTCTAAGCCCAGCTTGCTCTACCAACCCTTGAAAGCCACTGAATTAACATCCTGCTTCACAATGTTCACTTTATGCCACATTGGAATGTAAATCTGAAACATGTAAAAATAACCTCTGCTATTACACCAAGAATGTGTAAATATACACTCCTTTTTAGGAGAGCTATTTATCTCCAGTCTATACATGTTTCACTCTTTAAACTAAAAACAGCTTTAATGTTCTTCAGTCAAGTGGCAGCTTTTGCCAATATAAACTACTTTTCCTAAAAATTATGGCATCAAGTAGAGGAAACTTTGGAAAACGTAGAGTGCTACTTGATTTATGGACATTCAGAAATAAGCTTTACATAGGTGCACAAAAAAAGAAAAGCAGCAATGTTCTTCATTTCATTCATTGCTAACCTGCACAATAACAAGAGATCATATTCTCCCAGCATAAGTAAGCAAGGTTAATTAGAAGGACACCTCATGCAGATTTAGTGTTCATGTTCAGTGACATCTGCTTAATTTGGTGACAGAAATGTTTACAAGCATCAGCACAAACCAACCACTCCAGGAGCATTAACCGGATTCTTTATGGTATGCACGTCAGTAAACTGTTTTGTAAGGTCCTCCTGCTGCAGTACAGTTCCCCCTGCTTCTAAATCATCTCTCAAGCTACTCTTTTACCTATTTAAACTGAAGGCAGTCAAGAGCATACAGGCTTAACAATATTTAGCCTTCAGAATTGTCATCACTAGCTATGATAGGAGGCAGCACAACTTGATCTTCTGATCCAAGACGACTCGTTTTAGTGATGAATAGGAGAGACTTTATCCTATGAACTGATTCAATATGATATACAACAGAAGTAGAAGCTGGTGATGGTATTTTCACATCAGAAGAGTGCCTCACGTAGGTTGTTTCCAAATTCTCATGTAGACTGATAGAACAAACCAATAATAAGAAAATCCCATGGCATGATGAGGCCTGTCATACCAATCTACCAGAAAATCTTTGCAGAGTCAGCAGAGAAGTAGAAAACTAAAATCAGCATTATTAGTAATTGCACGAAAGCCCCCACATCTCTATGCAGACCTAAGAATGACCCTAAGATCTAGAGGAGGAAAAAGTCCAAATGACTGCTTAAGCCAGATGTACACCTCCAGAATAAGCAGGAAAAAAAACCACCCAACTGCAAAGAGAGCAGAAGAACAGAGATTCTTACAGGATACATATAATACAACTCTCTATAGAAGCATTGTTATTGAACATGAAATACAAAAGTAAACTCAAGTACATAGGATCTGATATTACACATAGCACAGTGGGCGAACATGCTGTGAGAAAAAGAAACATTTGCTCACCTGGCATAAACTAGATGCCAATTGTACACTTTATAAACATATTCACTGAATTGTCAACAAGTCTTAGCAGACTGGTCCGTCAGTCTAAGAACAGCTGTAACATTAAAACTGCGTACAGCTGAGCCTGGCCTCAGAACACCAACAGAACAACAGGATTATTCAGTGCTTCACAACGAAAGTCCAAGTAATTTAACTAACGTGCACTGGGCAAGCAGGTCTTGAATGTGCTCTCTCATCTCTAATAATTTGCGTTAAAGTAAGAGCCTTGATGGTTTCATAATGGCACCTTAAATGAAATTCAAAAGTGACAAGCATTTAGCTTAGTGCACTGTTTGTTCTACCTGCACCAAAACATAGGATTGGCAACAGCCTCCTCCTAGAGACATACTCCATTTTTCTCAGGAGTCCTTCCTATGCCCTGCTGCCACAGTATGCTAAGTACTTTCAAAATTAGACAAGGGCACATTGTGTGCACATGGGGGTATATTTAAATTCCAGCTGGAAGAAATCCCAACAACTCTGAGGACACAGGTTGTACCAATTACTAGTTACAGCTGCAGTTAAAAACTATGCCATGAATGAAAGCACCCTACCGTAAAAGGACTAAAATGTTAATCATCTAAGGGAGCAAGCTCATTCTTGGTTCAGTGTCACATGCCAGCCACGCAGATGGAATACTTGCTGCCTCGCAAAGCTATGCTTAACTTATCAAAAAGAAAGTACCAACAGCTGATGCTTTCATAATTTGCATAGCTCATGTCAAAGACCAACTACACAGCTACCCTTTTTGATGCTGTTCTTACTGTGCAGCAGAAAAGACTATAGGCAGCACCACAATATACCAACCACAGCTCACTCAGCAGCGAGCTTCATGAAAGTTTAATATAGGAAGGCTTACAGGAAGCCAAGCTCAATGTTTTTCTTTCTATTTGGATACACTTATGCTGTCTGCGGACATGTAACATGACAAACATCTTTGAACACTCCTGTTGCTTGAATAAACCCCTTGCTTACAGACTTAACAACTTGAAAGCATCATTTTAAAAGCAGTAGAATTTTTAAGGTATCAAGATGTGGACCTAAACTTTGACTCTATGCATGAGTAACACCTGTACTTTAAAGCACGTTCATTCTGAAGCTTTGGTAATAGATCTATTATTGCCAGATCCAGATACTGAGTAAGCTCTTTAAAGTTCACTGCTTCAGGAGCACTTAGGCTTCCACCAGTCTATGCCAGAAAGTCATAGTACTAGAGAAGACCTAACAATACTTTAAAGTGCTGAATGTTGGCATACATATGCAGATCATGGTAAAAATAGTATCTGTAAAGCTGAACTTTCAAAAACACAATGGGAAAGAAAGTGGTAAAAAAAGCTAGACAGTTCAGTCTTATGTTTTGCATATATATAATCAGTTACATTACGGATCAGAAGACAAAGATCTGAACTGGAGATACAACACATTACTATCGTCACATTATAAAGGCTCATAGTTGAGCAGGAGCTGCCACAATGCATGGCAAGCCTGAAGCTCAGTTCTATCCGTAGCTAGCAAGTTTAGTTGGCAAGTAATGATTGTTTTCTTTTTCTTCAGAGCAACAGCAGCAGTCCTCATAACTGAAGTGACCAAGTTGGGTAGGCCTTTTATTAAACACTCACAGAACAAAGTGCACAGGAGATAAGGAACAGAAAGTTCTTGCGTTTTACTCCAGCACTTTAACAAGTGTAAATAAAGTAGTAAGGAATTTCTCTCAAGTGTAACTAACCACTGTGCTGTATACAAATGACATTAGTGTGGTGCTTAAGTGAATCACATCTCCACATCATTCATTAACTTTGAATACACATATAAGTATGGGCTTCTCACTTCGCCTCAACCAACCTTTTAAGTTTGGGAAAAAAGATCTACATACCTTTTGTTGAATCCCATCTTAATGATTTCTAAAGTGAAAGTCTTGCATCTGAAGAAAGCAAAAGGCGAGCAACCTTTCTGTAGAGTGGTTAACCTGCTCTTAAAGCTAAGGGACACTTGTCCCAGAAACTCTTATTGAGCAGGGAATGGAATCCATCAGGGAAGAACTGAGAACTTGTGAGCAAGTAGGTCAAAATGGACATTTAGGTTTGCTATATCCTTCATCAGGAAGCCAAGTAAACTTTAATCCTCTGGATTTATTCAAGTCATCTTTGGTGGATGTTATTTCTGTACCTTTTCCTCATATCCTGGAATTATTGGCCCTGGAGTTATTTCCACATTGACTGATTTTAAAAGGTTTAAAGTGACATGTACATCATTGTGTTTCCCTAAACTTCCCACGCATTTATATACGAGGTCTTCATTAATCCATGTCTGCACCAAGTGTTCCCTAGCATCAGGGTGCCATTGATGTTCTTAAGCCTTTATAGTACCTATTTCATTTCTACTGTGAGGCAAAAATAGTTTAACTGATCCTATGTAATCACGACAAGAGATTAATTAAAATGCCAAGATAGGAAACAATTTATTATAGAGAGAAGAAAAATTTCTCATCCAAAATATAGAAATCTGTACAACTTTGCCACAATCAATATACATGAACTGTACAAATTTACACCAGTTCATAATTTACCAAATAAAAGATGACTAACAAAGTTCACAAAATAGATGGTGGTTTGTGGAAAAGACTTTTACCCAATTAAGAACAAGGAAATTACAAACCAGACCTCCACTTTCTAAAAATAAGAAGTTTACTCAGTCTTAGAAAACTACAAGCTAGCAAATGTACAGATAGCTGGCTGGTGCTAACACCACAGTTCAGACAGTGTCTTTATATGGTCTTTTTAAAGCCTGTTGCCATGGCAGATTCTGATCACTTGCTACTTTTGAGGCCAATGTAAAGATCTGACCATTTCCCCAGGTCATACTTACTAGTTTATCTTATGTACATTTATACATATTTGTAAGTGCTAGGTAAAAGTCTGAAAAATAAAATTTCCAGTACTATCGTGTTCATAACAATAAGTCTTGTTACTGAGCTGCCAAAAATGCTAACAATTAATAAATGTAATAGTGCAAATTTACTCTGCAAGACCTACTGCAGAGAATCACTTTATAAATACAGATTGGGGTTGAAAATTGGTGTAGAAATTAAGTAAGATGTCTTGGAGAAACTGACCCTTCCTAGATCTTCTTCACTCCCTAGCAAGTTGCAATCATTTTGACTCACAGGCTATTAAATCACTGAAAGGTACTGTCCAAACTATGGCACTGTCACTTTAAAGTATACCACTCTAACGTGTGCCAGATCTTCACAGCTGTGACATGGTTTAAATTCCATAATCCATCCCCAGAGGTGCCCACCCAAAGTAAAAACCAAATTTATCCATCCATTTTAAGGTGATCCATCCACAGACTATATCTTAACCCGATACAGTCATCATATTGTAGCTTTTGGAAGGGCTAGTTCTGCCCAAGAGAAGTTCCTCCTTACAGCTTATTCTGCTGTCTACCATTTGCATGTTGGTGTTATTTTGGCTACCTCCTGCTGGTGCAGCTTCATACAGCACACAGATTGAGCCATCCTCTCCAATACGATAGGACACTTCATACGGGTCAACCCATAGAGTGAGTTCGCTTGGAAGAAGCTGGAACAGTTCCTGACTGCTCAATCCAATCCGCTGTGCTGCCTGTCCAATGAGAGGATCCATTTTATGGTTGATCCGGATACATCGGTAACCTGATCCCTTGCATGGCTTTTCTGGGAACCAGTGGTGTTTATAATGTTCTATAAAATAAAAGAAAAGATTATCCTCCTTAATTCTGTATCCAAAAAGATGTACAGTGAACATTGTTCTCTCGCAAATTTCACACCTCAAGATGTTGAGACACTTGTTATTTTAGAATAAGTGACCTGAAAAATCATTATAGCCTTTATTTTTGCTATTTACATAAGCACAGCGTCCCCTGGGAAGTACTCATGTACAAAGTTACTGTTTCATGCTACCATAGACAGAGAACAATGTTTGCCATCCAAAAGGGTGAAATACAACTTCCTGGCATTCACAGAAACAACTATTAAAAAAGTGATTACATACACAGCAGAAAAACGCAAGGGCTTCAAAACCTCCACGAATCAAGAAGGAAAAAAAGCACCTTTCCAGCATCGTCTGGAGATCACACCCATGATTAGTTCCTCACATTCTAAGAACACCCAAAAATAACCAGGGAAGGAGCTGGGCAGCATTTACCGACTGACTCAAGCTGTATTTCACCACTGCTCTTCCCAGCCTGTTTTCCAGGGCGAGATACCAATGACTTCACTTACCTTAGGAGTTCTATCCCACCCAAAACCCTATCGGTCTGAGGCTACTCGTAGCCACTATCAAGCACGCTGGGACACAGGCTCGGGATTACAAGACCCACAGGGCAGCGAAGAAACCCTCGATATTTGATCCTAACCGGGACTGTCGGGTGGCAACGAGATGTTTTCAGAAGAAAGGGGAACTGAGACTTATCGTCCACCGCTGAATTTTACTTGACAAAAAAGCAACTTGGGAGCGTTTCTCCTTCAGGAAACCGGGCGGTTTGAGCCCTTGGAGCGGAGCCCAAGTGCGGGCTGCTCCGAAAGCTTTGTCTACGGAGCCAAGGGGGGGGCTGCCTGCGCGCCGCCCAAGCCCCTTTTGTTTACAGCCCGCTCCCGCCGCCCCCTCCCGCCGGGGGC